AGTGCGCGCCCGTATATTTGTTCGGATATCGAGTGAAGATCGTAACTACGGATGATAACCATTCTCTTTTTTCCCATAGAGTTTCTCTTTTTGGTTATAGCGTGTTGCCTTCGCCAGTATCATCTGTTGAAAAATATCTCTTCAACAAGTCTTCATCTCATCGATAAGAGGTGTACAATGCAGATGATGTAGCTATGAAATCAAATATGCAATTAGCTGAACAACAGGGTTACTCCAACCTGATGCACCTGAACTCGTTAACGAATCCGCGTTTTTCGGCGTTCTTATCTGATGTAAGAACAACTCGCGAACAGAGAACGTCTGTACTCTAAACCGCTGTTTGGCCGAATGCATTTTTGCATTCCCACGCGAGTTTTTGCGCGGCACGAACGTGTGCTCGTGCTCGCGCACAGATATCTGCATAAACGTGTACGACGTGGAAGCAGTCGGGTCCGAAGAATATCGCGGGAGATCACGAAAGAGGGAACGCCTGGAGTTTCGTCGAGAGGTGGACTCGTTTGCACCGGTGCATTCGAAAGCTGGACGTATCACGGCCCACCTCTCTCCATCCCCTCGGCTTCCAACCGACCCGTTTTCAGCCCTTCTTCTTCTTCCAAGAGGTGGCCTTATCTCTCCGGTTGGTTTTTGTCCGACCGCAGTAGCATGGCAACACGCGATGCAACGTTTCGCGCGAGACCAACCTGCGACAGGAGATTTCCGGCTGATATCGTTACCTCGTAGCACGCGAACCACGCCGAAACCCTTCCCTCCTACCAGACCGAATGAGATTGATAACGCCCGCATCCAGACCCGATCCGATTTTATGAGCTGTTGACGACACCTCCGCTCTAACCCGGTACTTCGGCCACTCAGACCCCCGGATAAATAATAGGAATAGCCCTGACACGACACGCGATCCATCCGAGGACTCAATTTTTACCTGTGTTGCTTTGCTTGCCGCTGTGTAAATTTGCAAGGTGGATTCTTGTTTATTCATCGCTAGCACTGAGGGAATAAATCGTGCCGGTTGAACCACCGTGAATCGAGACCCGCGCTGTATTACAAATTAAGAAGAACGTACCGACTTCTTCAATTATAATTAACGACTTTATATTATGATTCTCACAACAGTAGTGTCTCCGTTGTTTTCTGAGTCATTCAGTTGCAAATCGAGTCGTGAGAAGATCTTTTCGTGGTATGAGTACAGATGGTCGTAATGGGTCATGTTTCTGACATCTTAAGCAAGTAATGACGCGCAAGATCGTATCACAAGTGAGTGAAAGAAAAAAAATGAAACGCTTAAAACACACTGCACTGCAAGCTTCCGCGTTCAGTGTGCACTTTCGGATCCGAGGCTGATGGTAGCGAGTAAAACGATACAATCAGTAACTCGCGATATATATGGAATCAGAAACATAAGTCTGCAAACGTATTATGATAATTTGATTACTAATAATGTACGGGCAGAAGATAGGCGTATACACCAGGAACAACCAAATTGGAAGGAAAAAGGGCCGGTTCGAACGGTACACGTTTATAAATTTTCATTATATGAAGCTTTTAGTAACGAGTTGGATTCCCCTATCATCTTAATTCGATGTAATCTACATAACCATATGCAAGGAATTAATCGTTTCAATGATAATTACGTTCAACAAACATTGGTTTTCCATTAAGTTTCATTTGGTTTATCTCGAAATAAAAATATAAGTTGGATGAGCCTGTGATTACACATAAAGATGATGAATCAAGTAGGTACAATAGAAAACAAGTTATTATGTTTTGTGTGTAGATCAGTTTCAAAGTAGCTAGGTGAGAATATCAGTCTATATGGCGATGGTAAGTGTTGACTGCATTACAGATTTCAGTTAGTAAATTGGTGTCACCATACTTTGATTAATTATTTATTGTCTTCTTTGAGGATTCGAACATCAATCTGTATCCCATCATACATAAGCTTTTTTCCAAGTTGTATACATATATGTCATTCACTATGGAAATGCTAAACCGCAGAGGTGCACTATTCAGAAGTATCCAATTCAGCAATTGCATCAACACAGTGCACATTGTACTTGTGCTACTTCGATCATTGGATATGTAAACACGTTCATACCACTTAAGGGGTTAATATCCATTGGTAGTCGAGTGAAGCCCGTTAATAACTGGATTACCGATCACTGCCTGTATATTTAGCTAACGCGCATCGACACCAGTCCCGGATCTCTCACCTCGAGATTAGACCGTGGTTAGTCATTAGTTCTCGCCGCGCATAACTTTATCCGATAACGAGATTGCTTCTTGCCACAGTGAGGATTTTGCACATCAAAATGATCACGGTAAATTATGGTCGAGCATTGAACAATGGCGTAACAAACGGACAGGGATGAATTATTCCATAGAATCGTCTGAAACGTTGGTCGTTCCCGTATTCGTGCAAACATGAAGAAAAATTAAGTTAGAGACTGAAGTCCTTAAAATGTTCCCTTAAAACACTATTATTTAAAGCCTGTAGACATCTCTGCATGCATCAACGACTCTAATGGATCCCGTCGCTAGACGATAAATGTTCTCGTGAAGGGGAAACGAAACAGTGAAAAAGAATCAAGAATAAGAGCTATAGCTTCGTGAAACAGAGAGGTCACTGTCTTGAAACGAAAATATATTGCTGCACGCGCCAGAGAATGTATTCAACGGTATCGCGTCTTTAATTGTACCGCTGACCCTTTGCGCGAAACGTTCCTTAAACACACCTTTCACCGGATAATTTTTTATAGACATCTTTCAATTTTTACTCTTATCCGAAGACATACACCTCGTTTGCTATTGGATTGTCCTACCAGTCGTCTTCCAAACAGTAATGCAAGAACAATTTCTTAAACAGTATAAAAGGACGTGTTTAATGATTCACTATAAAAGAAAATTCTTCAGAGTCAGGCATGAGATAGCACCAGGTCTGGTTCCCCATTGGAAAGCCCATAATGTATCGGGGTTTTCATTTAGGCGACGGTAATCACCGTTCTTCCCCTAGTCGTGCCGTTATTTCGATCCATTCTCTTCTTCTTTTTTTTTATCACGGCTATGTGTAAATCGGCGGTAACAGCGATAAACCTGTGAAGCTGTGAACGTCCAACATTTGTTATTGCTCTCGCGTGTGAAGTTTGATACCCTCGTGTGCACACGCACATATTAATCCCTCTCGTGTAAGCATATGTATACGCGTAGAATGCAAAGGATGATGCTGCCGACGCTGGTGTAGGTGGTGGTGGTTTGGTGAATCGCGCGCAATAGGGATGGGTCACGGGGGTGGTGTGCAGCGAACAGAGAAACAGTAGCCCGGCCGTCAACAAGAACGACGAAGAGAGAGCTAGTGGAGGGGGTTGGTGAGTGGGGGTGGAGGATTGGAATGAGGGAGGTAGGGGGTAGGGCGTGCGCGCCTGCACCTCATAAACTTAAACCCTAATTAACCGGCGCTACGGCTACTGTTGCGCCCTACGTGCGTATGCTTCTCGTTCGTACACACGAACGCACTTTGTCGCTTTTCCCTCTCTCTCCGCTCTGTTCCATTCCGTCTGCGCGCGCGCTCACACCGCCGTTGTATTCTCTAGCGAGAGACGCACGATGTTTATTGCTCGACTTCGCGTAAATTAGCTCCACCGCGAAACTATCCGGTGGCTTTCGTTCGCGGTACAACCGCGCCGCGTACGGATGCTTTCCGAAGACAAGGTTCGAGGATCTTTTGAGGAGACGAAATTACGGGGCACATGGAGTAACAACATATAAATCGCTAGAGCAGCTCGTTCACAAGGTATGTTCATAAAGAAAACGAAATTATCTTGCGAATTAGTTGAAGAATATTATGATTATTATTGTGATTGAAAATTGCCATGTTGGTTTATAGGAAGTAAGTTCTGTCCATTTCTGTAAAGGCGTGCGAAGGTAATTTTGAAAGTTTCGTTTCGTGAAGTTCTGATACGACTTATCGTCCAAGTTCGAACGATTTATCTTCTACTTTTTTCTAAAGTCACCATAATAGAAAGGGTGACGCTGTATTTTCAGACTCTCCGCGAGGAAAAAAGTTGCTTCTGGATGATGACTTATTTTCAACATGTGGCGCTGCTTGAGTTCACTTGTTTTTTCTGTTGGAGTAAATGCTTGATGGCCGTTTTCGGACGATTTATTTACGATATCAAACTCATCTGGGGTAGCAATTTCGTTAATACAAAACAACTAACGAAATTTAGAAATCCTATCACCTGTCGGGATTATTCCATTTCATACGTTTCAAAGATATAATGTTTGTCAATAACTCGGATAATTATGTCTTGTTGACTATTCATATCGCGCTTTAATAATCAAAATATTCCCAATAATATTCATGATTGTATCAGCACACATTTATCAGTACCGTATATAATGTACACACTGGTTGTTTTCGATTCGTAAATCCTACTTTACATTTCCATTGTATCACATCTTCAAAATCAGAATAATACATTTATCAAACTTTCTGTAAAAACGTTTCATAAATGCTTGCGGTTTACCGCGCAGGCACAAACGTGTCCGCCGTGCCGTCCAGACATGGGTGCGTTCATAAAACGCACGCGTACACCACCGTCGGATCAAAACAAAATGTCTGAAAGATGTCTGCGCGATCAGAAAAATATACAGTTTCAAAGGCGCGAACCGATCCTTCATGCATCAATCAACTAGACTAAAGTCAAACATTTAGCCTTTCAAATTCCATTATGGTCGCTGCACACACTCTCTCTGTCATACTCTGATGTCTTGGTTCTTGTCAGAAGTCAAACAACATTGGGCACGGTTAGTCCTCGAATAAGCAACCGTGTGCTATCGGCACGTAAGGGAAATAATGAATCGTAAAGACCTAAAGGTTAGAAAAACCTACAATTCGTTGGCTGTCCATCGGGAGAACGAGCACATGTAACATAACATACTCTCATGCACACATACACGCGGTGTTATGTCTCAGCTAAACGTACCTAGAAACGCAAGCTCGCGTCCACGTGTGCTTTCCTTCCGAGTAAAACATTCCCAAGCTAAATGTACATGTAAACACTCGTATATATCGTAGCCGCGCACTTCAAGCATCGTTTACTGTCCAATCGATCATGTTAAAGATGTATCGACGAGGAGAATCTAATAGTTAAATACGCGAACGTGGGTGTATCCGAGGCGAAGGTTGCGTCCGCCGTATTCGACCTGCGCAGCCTGGCTTGAACTCCTTTCTTGGCCAATATGGCGACTCTCGTGAAAGCCAACGAAGAAGCAGGCATGCCAGGATACGGGAGTTTGAGGCTGGCACACGGCTAACGAAAACCGGTCGATGCGGGAACACACGAGGCTGCACGACGTGGCGGCGCGACGGTCGTGCGTGTTCGTAGTGCTTCGCAACCAATCGGGTGGGGCGAGTAAACTAACATGGCCGCCGTGTCGTCGCGGTTACCACTTTTCTCGGCCGTGATCATAGTTGTACGGTTTTTCGATTGTTTTTCACGGTTCCGTGCAACGATTGTTGTCCAGCTCGCGATGACACCGCGGATTGGACATCGACAATGGTATGTAAGTTGGCGACATTCCCCGAGGACTTTTCCGTTTCTACATCAAGTGGAGGTCCGATGGAGCCATCTTACGATCGTTCACACGTGTGCGCTTGTGATGCTTCGACTGTATGTGCACGTGCGTGTATGTGCAAGTGCATTCAGTGCTCGGAATTTCGTTTTTGTTTCATTCCTGTTTACGTTTATTTTGTGCTTATTTTGCGATACTTGTTTCACGACAATGATGCGAAATTTCTTAATGTTTTGGGACGTTTTGTTGTGTACGTGTTTTCAATGTGTTTACAGTCTCACATTTCATGATTCATTGGTGTTTGTACTTCTTTTATGTTATATTTGCACATCACTTTGCGACAATTGTTAACTGCTATTTAAATGTCTTGGGAAATATATTTAGAAAAAGAAAAATGTTTAACAAAACACCCATTCATTTTTAACCTACGAGGGTAGAAGGGAGGCGATGGGTTGATTCCAGGTCGCTTCTGACCTGTAGTTAAATGTTTATAAAGTATTATGTTGTTCGCGAATTATTTGTAAACGCGTATTAGTGTTTTAATTGCATTACTAATGTACTTGCATTTCAAGGTATAAATAGACTAATTAGATTAATGATTAAATTCTCTTCAATATTCATCTTTTCAGATATGTGTCTGTTAGTAGTTGTGTATTAAAATTTCTGTAGCACATTGGCTCTGACAAAAATCTCGGCGATGATTTTAAGAACTCTTGTTAAGCAGTTCGTTGTCGCCATTTAGGCAGTTAGAAAAAAAACAACAAAAAGGGGGACAAATTAAAATGCAAGAACCGACGATTTGACCTCAATTTAGCCGATGAAGGCAAATGTGTATGATAATTGCAACACTACGGTTAATGATCGCACCCAGGAGTCGCTCGAAAAATGGTCTTGTGATAAATTATCTCGCCGGAAACCGGTGTCGCGCCAAGTAAGATTCCAACGTATCTCTCTCTTTTTCACGCGTGTTTTCTTTCTTTTTCGCTGGTTATAATCATTAGATGACTCGCGTGACTTGGTACGATGCACTTATGGTAATAAGGTAATCATAATCAAACCGTTTGTCGAGTCTGGTTATATGTCCATGACATTTTTATCACGCCTCGTGTAATTTCCCTCTGGAGATCATTAAAAAACGCGTATTGGATAATCACGTGTTAGGAACGAGTTTGTAGAAAAGAATAAGGTTTCCTTTCAGAGAAAGCTTCTTCGCCGTCGGATACCTTCATTATATTGTTGCCCATAAGATGGATGTAGTTCACATGGTTTCATTCATTTATCGATTAAATTAAAATGAACATTGTTTCAATTCAATTGCCTAGTTAGATTCGTCATTTTCCTCTTTAGCACAGTAATTATATAATGATCATGACTCGTAAAATGTACTCGAGGGGTTAATTTAGCGTTCCGTTATTTTATTGTTTCATATATCATTCTGGATGCAAATATTTTTATTTCAACTCATTGAAATGCTTATAATTAATAAAACCTATCATTATGTTCGCATCAATAGACGACAATAGTAATCTGTAATTCATCTCTATTTCTTCTTCTATGTCTAATGAAGCTGTTAATCAATGTTCGAAGCTATTAGCTTGTTTCAGTCGGGTTCTCGTATTCAATAAAAATAGCAGCGATAATTATACGGAGGGGTCGAGCTCGATTATAAATTAATGTCGATGTCGTAACCGCTAATGCGATGAGGGAGAGCATCGTGCTGCATGAACGAAAAATTGGCGAGTGTGCAAGATACGGCAAATTCCGCACGATAACCGTGCAAAATTATCGACTCGATGACATATACCATAGATAAATAATTAACTGCTACGTAAAAGATCGTAAAGTATACGCGTAATCAGGAGCATACAGTTTTACGCTTGACCGACTTTGTCGGACTTGTTTTTTATGCGATTAACGCAACTTTCTTCACTAGTTTTACTCGCTTAATTAACCACGTCGTGTACTAATGAAGAAACGGAGACGATAGATCGGTGTTATCGTGTTGTCTTTCAAGCTTGAAACGGTTACCGATACAAAAGTTGTTCATACCAGTCTGGTGATGGCCGTTTTATGAGCACGAGGAAAATATGGTCTGAAATATCTAGCACTATGTTAATTCTCTCGCCAGTACGTTTTTCGTTCTTTTTCTTGTTAAGTATAAAAGACGGACTTCATACTTCATTCATTAAAGTATCTATTTAAACCGTTCACAGTGTTTTATATTGTAGTGATTTGATCGGTAAAGTTGAAACAATGTTCCGTCGATCCACTACAACTAAAGATCTGCTATCACGTTTTACTCTATCTCGTTTCAAATTCGAAAGCAGTGTGCTCGTATAAACCGTTCACGAACAGTTGAAAGCGCTTAACAAGGCCCCCTACAAGTGTGCTTCCAATTTGGTGGATTCTCATTGTAATTCCACGCGTCCAAAGTTGCACGGTTCGGCAACTAGTTTGGAAACTCGACGAGAGTCCACGAACGAGTTGGTCGTTCGTATCAGTCTGTCCCCTTTCTATGACAGCTAGGATACGCGGCAGTAAAATCCATAAAACATTATAGATACGTTGCTGTCAACGATTTCACAGTGTTGGTGTAAACGTTTCAATATTCCTTTTATCTTGTTAGGCGAAACTGGTTTAAATAGTTGTCGGATCGACGGGGAAATGAAGACATGTAATGGATAAAAGAAAAGCGAGGGGCGTGGGTAGATAAAAGCCAGGACTCTCTGCTTTTCCATTGGGGATGCCATTCGAAGCCCCAAAATCAATTTAGGAAACTGTCCGAGATAACCGGATAACATCTCGTTTCTTGAACTTATCGATTTCTTTCGTACCTATTCGCGTCTCTTAGATTTCTATCCTTTTCGTCAGTAAATTACATTCTTGGTTTTATTATAGGCCGATTTTCAGGAGTTGCCGTAAGATTCTCAAAACTTTTAGCGTAACAGAAATTTCTTTGCTGAACCCACACGTCGCGACTTGATACGATCCTGCTGAAGGAAAATAAGTGTTACAAACGCACCTGACAGAACTGCAGGAAGCAAATTGATATTCGATAATGATCGCAAAATTACGGAAAAACAATTATGTGCATAAAAGGCGTGTATAATGTGCGTTGAACGAGACGAAGTTCATAAAGATAAGGTAGGAATCGTTGCGGATAGAAGTCGATGATCAGAGGCAGCCTAGCGAGGCGGATAGGCAAGGACAATTACCGAAGGATGCTTAACACGTACAATAATGACCCGCATAAAAGACACACTATCTACTTGATGCAACGTATCATCACTTCGTGCTTCGTTAAAAGCTGAATATAATCGAGCTGTTGTCGGAAGAGGGGTTACGGTTACACTTGGCAGACACGGACCTCCATTAAGCGTTTTTAATATTGAATATCTCACGGCCTGTATCTGCTGGCGTCGCACGAAACGGGAAGGGGAGGAAAAAAAGAGAAGAAAGAAGGAGTCGGTTAATTATCGTGTCCGCATTGGAATCATACGGACGCGATAATTAACTCTTCTGCTTGGCTCTCTTCTCCCACCTGTTCGATCGTTTTTTACGCGATGGTAAACCCACTTTGCATGAGCTGTGTATATTAAGTATTAATTCACTTTAATTAAAGTTCAGTTTCCGCCCAAATATGTTGGCCCAGATATACGTTGGCTACAAAGTTATCCGATCAGTCTGACCGGTTAATTAATTCCATATAAAATTACATATTTGTTAAACAAACAAAATATATTCAGAAGTATCCAGCGTTAAAGACTGTTTTGTTCAGGACATCTTAGAATAGAGGTTGCCAACATAAGGGCAATTCAAATTTCATACAGCTCAATGTAACTATGTCGTCCTCGACACCATTTCGAGGACATTCAGACAAGTCTGCTATTTCGAATCTCGGTGCTTCGTCTCCGTGTGTCGAACGTCAGAAACGCGAATAAACTGCTTTCTCGGCGGGAATATAAACGCAAACACTGTGTTTCGAAGGAGAAGAAAGGATAAGAGAGAGGAGGAGAGGGTTACGCGGGTACATACGCCTCTACAACTGGTCCTCGCAAGGGAGAGAAACATGCGACGCGAAGAAGGGCGAGTGGATAAAGGAAGAAGAGAAAGAGAAGAAGAGATGGCAGATGGAAGAGAGAAAGATAGCCTGAAGGGGCCTTTAAGAGGGTTCAGCATTGAGTTGTAAAAGCGTTCGTTCGCTCTCGCCGCCAGGCGGCATGGTCGCTTATGTAAAGGCTGGTTACACGCCGCGTGATGAGTGGACGCTGTTCCGAGTGTTTCTTCTTTTAACTCTTTGCTCTCGCTTTTGCACTCTTACCTGTCGTTGCGTTTATGTACCCGAGCAAGCGAGATAGCTAGCTAGTTTTGAATGCGTGAATACTTCTCGGTACCCCTTTCATTCTCAGAAATCTTTTTTACTTCCCTGTTACAGCAACAACCCCCTTTATCCTGGTCGCTTATAAGCTTTCGTTCGTTACTCGCGTGCTCGCGTGTCTCTCGTCGAGATTGTCTTGGCGAACGTTCGAAACCGTTCGATTTTTTCCCATTGTTTTTGTTCATCGAAGACATTGGTGCGCGCGGTAAAACGAGTCTCGCAAATTGGATCATTCTTTCGGCGAATGAGCGACGATGTCGCCGGTCGAGCAGCTTTTTTCTCTCGCCGCTGCTCTCAGAGAGCATGGTCGAGATTACGGGTTCGCCAAGGCTTGCCAAA